TCCGGGCATACGTTACTCTCGCCTTAGTTGTCCCTCTCCTGCGCTTCTTAGTCCTCCCTCCCGCTGTTCTCCTTTATAGTCCCTCTCGAGAAAACTCGGCTTTTCTGGTAGCGAGTCAGCCCGCCTCGACCGTTTCTCCTTCGCGTTCTCTCCCTCTTTTCCCAGTCTATCACTACCTCCCACACCTCGGATAAGCGCGTACACGCTCGTAGAAGTGTGAGACGTCCGTGTGTGCCCGTCGTAAGGTGGCGAGGATCGTCTTTACCTCGAAAAAGCTCCGGATGGAAAGAGAGAGAGAGAGAGAGAGAGAGAGAGAGAGAGAGAGAGAGCTTCAACGAGAGGGCACGCCAAAGTGGGGATACGCCGTCCTGGACGTAGGACGAACGCGCCGGTCTTCGTGGTTCGACACGAAAGCTCCGTAGTAGGCGTGCCGTTCATGCTCCGCCCGCAAGCTCGTGGGTGCACGCCCAGGGAACAGGGCTTTACCATCCGGTGCTTTGTCGACCCTGGCAAACCACCCTGCCAAGGGCCACCGCGCCCGACAACGTTAACCCCCAACCTCCCCCCCCCGCCCCCTCCCTCCTGGACCCTCTTTGCTACCCTCCCTCCTGCTCCCCGTTTCCTCTTTCCTTCTCCCTGTTCGGCGACGTACCCACCCATGGCCCTCCGTCGTAGGAGTTGCAACTTTAGACCGCTTTGCACACAGATTGCATCAGAGCCATCCGCGGATGCAATCGTTACCCCACTGTCGTGTTTCCACCCCCGTCGTCTTTCTCCCTCGGAAGCGGATGGCGCGCAAGCACGTGTATGTAATAAGTACGTGTGCGTACGTGTGTATCTGGTATACGTTAGAGGAATAGCTGACGCCGGTTCTGTTGGCGAAACGAAGAATGCACCGCTAGACTGCGACGGGGAAGTTTGAGACGAAGCTTTTGATTACGATGCTTTATTGGCTTCGGCGTCGTAATCAACGGTGCGGGATTAGATGCTGAGTGCATTGACCAGTAACGTTCAACAAGAATAAGTAATTTACGAAGCGCTTAATATGCATAGATAGCAATAAATCATATTCTCGGTATCCATTTAATCTTAGGAATGGAGAACTTTGTTAATAAATACGCTATATATGTGTACGGCTGATTATTGTTATTCTATATTTTCATTCTACACTTAATAATTATATGTTGAAGTAAGAGAAAAGAATGAATAAAAGAAATAGTCTTGAAATTGTATTTTAATAATACATTTGCAATATCTTGGATAAATTTTGGCCTTGTTAAATAAAATATTGGAAACACTTTTTATAAATCCCCTATGATCTAATATCTAATTGAATTGGAATTATAGTTGGATGGATAAGAGCGGATAGAGACGTAACAGTGGGATTAGATACAGATGCGTTCATATGACGCGTCTGGTTACTGTCTATCCTCGCGAAATAAAGTGCTCGGATGTGGCGAGTGTAAAATGCTGTATCGGCGAACGAAATCTCGCTAGACTCTTAGTCTGTCGAAACAAATTTGTCTGGAGATTTACATGCACGGTTTTCGGATACCTACGGAAGCACGCAAGACAGACACATGTCATAGTAAATACGTGTTCAAAGAATGGATAATAGTAAAATAAAAAAATATAAAAATCAGTAAAGCAAAAAATATAAACATTTAAAAATGAGAACAATTTTAAACTGTTTTCAAAGAGCTTTAAATTATAAGCGTTTTATATAAAAAAAAAAAAAATATTTCAACTGAACGCAAGTTTTGATTAATTGAATTAAAAGACTTTCAAGTCTTAATTAAATTACTTAATTAAAATATCTGCGTTATTCCAAATTGCTGTCGCGATTTTGCCTGGCGTGTGCTGTCGTAAGAGCAGTAAACTATTCTTTGTGTTGTTCCAATCGTAATTAAATAATTTTTATAAAAAAAAAATCAACGCAGCCTTTTTGTTACGTAATAGTAATATTGATCGACACGCGGTAGGTGAATCAGGCATTATCTCTCGAGCACTCACTTTAATCCCGGGATTATCCAGCACGCCAATCGGACACTATTGAAGCTAAAATTAAATATGTGTATACGCTGATAATCCGTACTCTTTTATTTTGCTAAATAAATGCATAACACGAGATCGGTTTTATTCAACTGTATTAATTCGATATAACTGAAGTAATTACGTAATAAATTTAAAAATTCGAAAATTTATTTTTTTCAAATGAAAAATTCATTTATTTTTTATAAAATTATATCAGTTGTATGAGCTTAAGATATTCTTAATCACCTAAGATATTCTTAATCACCTAAGATATTCTTAATCACCTAAGATATTCTTAATCACCGGAAAATGAAACCGGAGACGATAATCGAAATCATAATCATTATTGAAATTTTCCTATTACATTATTTTCCACGAATGTTCTGAGAGAAACAACAAAAGCACATCCAATCAAACCGATTTTCATGATGGACTAATATCGTCAATAAAAGGTTGTCAGAAATATTTTGTCATCGATTACGTAACCGTCGCATTATCTACCGATCCTCGTAGATATCTCTCGGTTATACCACAAATACTTCATTTCATCGTTAATCCGACGATAAAACGGCCAGTTGCGAACTCAGCTAATTCAAACGGATTATCAGACGATAATAACGCGCTTGTATCTTGGAGCACATCGACACCGCTGTTTCATATCACATCTGACGAAGTGAAGCCGTACATGTGCATTACGAGAGCGCGTGTGTCACATACGCAAACGCGGAAGGATGTAATCGGAAAGGACGTCTCTCGCGAAGCACCGAAAATTCGCGGATACTGCTGGAATCGGTAACGATGTTACTTTTGTCGTCTACGGAAATTAATTCCCAGAGATTGTCTAATCTGGCAGCGACGTTTACAGGAATCTGCGAATACGTATGCACACGTATGTGTATACGTTCCCTTTGAGGCTCTCAATTTCGAACGATCCATTTTCACAGCACGAAGAGAATTGTGGTTGATATATTGATGAAAAGCTGCCTTTATATTAATTGTCGTCATTTTAATCTAAGATTATTTTCATTGATTAATCAGATAAAGCAAAAAAAAAAAAATTACATTACAAATTATTGAAATTCAGAATTTTTTAATTGTTACTGTGTATTTGTCTCCTAATATTTGTTATATTTTTTTATTATAGTTTGTCTTATATCTTTATTTAATGTTATTTTCTTAGTATACCTTTTGTTTTATATTTATTTGTATTTATTCTGTTAAATTGATTCAAAATCAACTCGAATCTCCAATCATATCTTTGTCCCAACAGATATAAAGAGATACAAGTTTCTTAATGTTAGCTTATTAATCTGCTTATGCTTATCTATCAGTGGATGAGATTTCAATGTATCAGATCTCGATCGCTTATATTATGAAGGTCAAAGAATGATTCTATCGAATCACAATTTCTAATCCAAATACGCATCTGTTGCTTCTTATCGTGTGGAATTAAGCGCAAAGATCTGTTCAAACCATATTTAATTATTTATTGCGTATTAAGTTATTTTTACGTATGCAGTATTTTTGCATTATGTAAGATATTTGATACATATTATTTGTTTTCTTCATTATTATATGTAGATATGAAGCAGCACATTGCGATTATCCAAAAAGTAATCAATAGAAAATTGAAGGCTTGATAAATTAAAGAAAATTGTTTACTTGAATATATAATTTGTTGTGCAAGTATAATAATATATTAATATGTATATTCTCTTAATAAATGTTTGACATTTAAAGACTATTATTAATTAAACATTTTTATTTAACGTACAGTTATTATTTCAAGTTTCAATAATTTAAAGTAAACAGTTTTTAAAGGCTGATTCGAAAACTCGTTTTATCCCTATAAATTCCCGCGGATGTAAAAACTTGTTTTAATGCTTCGCAATTGCAATCACGGAAAAAATACGACGCAGTGTCATAGATATCGCTTCATGGTTCTTCATTTAAGCTCGGTCATCGGTAGTCGCGTATACTCTCGCAGAGAATGTGTTGCAGGTGGACAGGTGTATGTGCACGTTATCTTTAGACACACCCCTGGAATAGGTTCTTGGTGGGGGTGCTGAAGTGCAGAGAAAAGGGTGGGTGAGAATCGAATTCGACGGAGAAAGATTTGGAAAAAAAAAAGGAGATGAGATGGGTGCGGGATGAGAGAGCGAATCTTTCGTAGCGCGACGAACAAATATGAATGTGAGCAAGAAATTGGATAGAGAAAAAAATCAGTAGTTTATGAAAGAGAAAATGTTCTGGCAAATTGAAAGAAATACGGCGTTATTGAGGAAAGTAGAATAGAAAATGGATTAACGGAAGAAAAAGAAATACCAGCTACAAAACTAATTTAAGTAAGCGACTACAAAGAGATTACAAGTGTGAAAGAAGATTCCAAAGAAGAAGACAATTTTCATAGATTTCAGGAAAATTTGCAATTTTCTTTATGGATTTTAACGAATGGCAATTTTATCAATTAAAGACGTGTTACAACAATTCGATTATAATATTAATTTGACGGTATTAAAAGGCGGAAAAATAGACGAGAATGTGATCGGAAAGAAACTTAACGCGACGAACAAAGACGCGAAGGAGAAGGAAATGGTGAAGCGCGAGAGAGGGACGACGCCTTATCCGGAGCGAGGAAGCTTCGTAGCGAAATCGGGGGAGGATAAGAGGGAACGAGAACGAGACGACGGGATCTCGGGCTGCGGGGTACGACGAAGGTAGGTTCCGGAGGAGTCGGCGAGCGAGAGGGTGAACCAGCAGCCGAGTGAGGACCAGAGGAGGCACTCGGCCGCGATATCGGTAGACGCGAGACGACGGTATCGCGGTGGGCGATGGAGGTGGTGGTGGTGGTGGTGGTGGTGGTGGTGGCAGTGGTGGCGGCGGCGATACGACCGGGTGGTGGGGTTGATACTGACGGCGCGCTCGCGGGTAGGGCGTCGTAGGGGCAGCAGATCGAGCGCCGCGACGCCTCGACGCGCACAGTCGCGGCTCGAACGCCGTTCCCTGCGAACGTGTGTTGTCCTCGCGGACCGTGCGCCCGTCCTCGGCGGCGCGAATGACATTCCGTTGGTGCTTGGCGATCGTACGCGATTTTCAGAGGTACACTCACGACGAGAGGGACGACGACGTGAATGCGATCGTGATCGTTCGAGAGAGGCTCCTTGACGAGAAACGTCCAAGAAGAAATCGATCAAGTTCGAATTTTTTCGGAGCACTCAGAGCTACGCACATGTTTGGTATTGATGACTGGTGACAACCCCCACGCGCGCCGAAACAGTGCCTCGCGGCCTTCTCAGGGAGATGATTGGCAACGTTGACTGATCCTGTGATCGATGATCGAGAGACTACGATCGATGTTGGCGTTTAGAATTGTGTACGTGATGTTCTGAATAGACTGACGTGCCGATTGGTGATCAGGAAACGGGACGAGACTGTAGATCGCTCTATTTACTCCGAGACGATATTTATCGTAATGAGTTGCGACCACGTGTGTGATTTTCCGCAGTCTAGTCAGAGGTACGCGCAGTTTAATCATATATTTAATATTTCAATCTAACCTAAGCGAAATTTAGAACAGACGATAGTGATCATAGGTGTGCAAATCGTTTCAATATAAAAAAAAAAAAAATGATCACCCACGCGTTTATCATTAGCATACAGTAGCTAGAAATTAAGAACTTGTATTAGTAAGAACCTCCTACGTAAATAAGCGGACATTTCATACACGTCTGTGATTTCGATTGTAAATAAATTTTATGTTATTCGCGCGATTGTCAATATTTGTCGTAGACAAGGTGCTCCAAGTGACGTTTAGAAGACAAACCGAAAGAAAAACTGACATACGGCTTTAAAAACCTGTCATCTTTTCGATCACATTCTTAATTATATTAGTGCCAGGACTAAAATTCACGCTATGAGTTTGTGAGAATTCGAGTACAACGCGATATGTCACGAATGGCGGCGACTTCCGAGGCCCAGGAGAATTATTGAGAGGCCCCAGAAGGGAATGGATTTTCAGAGCGCAATGGACACCTTTGTAGAGGCATGGATGGCTGCTAACACGAAGACGGATCAAGTACAGGTAATCTTTTATTTTTGTTTCGCAGCCTGGATGAAATATTGTACGCATATTATCAATCATTCATGCGATTATATAAATATTTTTCTGTAAACAAAATTGGAAAGATTTGTCATAAAATCGCAGAAAAATATGCTAAAAAAATTTATTAGAATGTAAAAAATATTACATTTATTTAAGAATAATATTGATCGAAAAAACACATGGATGTGCAATTTAAAATGGAATACATTTATTTTTTTAGAATAAATGTAGCAGATAAAGAAAAACTAGAACAAGTATTCCAATTTCTAATAGTTTAGTTTTTAAAAATAATAAAGCTTTTTATTAACAGATTAAAGCGTAATTGAATTCTATGCGGATCACTAATTTATCGATCATTTAAAATTAGGATCATTTAAAATCTTTTTTGTCCACACAGACATAATGGGTTTGCTAAAGTATCTAAAAATAATTTTGTTTGTTTTGTTTGAACCATCAAAAATGTACCTTCAAAACAGGTTATTAAAATGTTAAAACTTTTTGCAGCATTATCATCAGTGTTGTTTATACGTTTTACATAATTATTTTGTAACTAATTGTAAATTTTCAGATACTTCAGCAAAAAACGTCCTTTCCGTGTATATGCCGAAAAATCATAAAAACGCTTTTAATATATGAGAGGCCAATAAAAAAGTACAACTATATCGAAAATACGTGACCTTAATTTGACAAGGAATATAAAATTCCGATAAAATGGTTTACGTCGTGGATTAGCGTGCTAGCATCATCGTTTTCGGCGTTCGGTCTGCCGAACTTATAAAAATAACGCAGCGTCTATACTCAATGTTAGCGAGTACGAGGGGCGAGAAGCAACCCCTTTCTGACATTACACAGCCAATTGGCCACCCTATCGCTTCTTGCACCCCTCTCTCTCTCTCTCTTTCTCTGGACGCGCTTTCAGTCCGCTTAATTCTTCGTCATCAATTTGGCACATTCTTTCGCATCTCAAAGCAGCTGGCTACTCCACGTGTAATGCGCGATTATCTCAGTACCTAAAATAAATAAACAAGGCGCGTCATTTCTGCATCGCGTAATCGTTTCAAAAATAATAAACTTGTATTAGGAAAATGTGATAAATTTCGATAAATTCAGAACAGAAATTTTCATTTTCTCGCACGCGAGTCTCCTTATCCTAAAATTTCATCTTTCTAGATGTGTACTGTTTTGAGTTAAAATAAACTAAATAGAGCAGGTGCAATTATAAGTTTAGGTAAACATTCACGTAATCTATGCAGCATCGAAAAGAAAAAAAAAAAAACACGTTATTTATCGGACATATGATCGCTTGGGAAGGAAATAATTATCCTTACCATTTAAACGCAGCGCGAGCTCGGATTTAGACTCGATTCTCCGCATCAAAAATCGCATACCGAATTCAGATCCGACGCGTATATCCGACGCTTCGCGATCTCACAACGAAAGCCGAGGGCAACCGTAGGACGGGGGATAATCCTTGGCAAAGCCGCGGCTCGCGTGTATGCTGTGCGGACGAACGCGCGTACGTTTACACGTGTATGTACGTATCGGGGGGTCACGGGTTCTGACCACGATACGGATGTGCCCCTGCCTTCTTCCTGTGCCACGACCATGTTCATGTTCTGGCATTCAACGGAATAAGACCGCATGTCTCCATTGACCGCTCGATCTCTCGATCCGTGCCCGCCTTCGGCCTCACCATGGCTATCGAAAAATTAACAATAAAACACGCTACAAAATCCGTTTACGTAAATTGTTGTAATAGACAGACCAATGTAAAATTATCACGATAACATTTAACACGTCTGGTTTACGAAATCCCATGTCCCACTTACGTTTTTGACTGGTTTTTTCTGTTTTTTTTTTTTTTTTACTTAAAAAGTATCAGAACAATCGCAAACCTTTTTGGAGGTTGATAAATCATAAGTTTCTTGTCAGAAACGATATTTTTGGAATATATAGAATAGAATTTATTCTCTTCAGTATTTTCAAAGCCAAGAAGGGGATTTAGTTTACAAATATTCCTGCTTCATTTATCCATTTATATTTTTCTCACACGCTCTTCTACTTTGCGTTCTTTATTGCCCCACTCTTGTCTCTCTTTCTTTATTTATTAGTGCACTTTTATCTTATCTATATAAATATATCACAGTTGATGATTTCTAAAGATTCTAAAGATGATTCTATACGATCAATAATATTGACAGTATGCATAAATATTTTAAATATTTTTATAACTTTATATACGATCAGTATTATCATATATCAATATACATAGCAGTATACCTATACGTACAGGGTCACCTTTATATTATCACAGCTATGATATTATTAGAATATTACACAATATGTATATCGTTTATTTGAGAAAATTATCAATTTATCATGCATGAATTATGCAATGTGGACCATTTTGTCAAAAGAGTTATGTACATTTTATTTTCATTGCAACAAAGCACAGATTAAATATTTTAAAAGAGAGAATATCCATGTAACTTATATGGAAGCACCTCGAGAGATGCATTATCCATGCAGATGTTTTTTTCAGAAAAGAAGTCAGAGACCGAGGATAATCTTATAATGCTGTCAAATACATGAAGCTCTGCCTTCATACTTGCGATATTAATGTACGAAGACTCATTTTGTTCTTGTGAAAACGCAAGGACAATACACTGACTTGGATTACAGGATGTGTAAAAATTCTAAATTCAGTCTTCATAATTTGCATTATAGTTATTTAAATTACACCGCCAAAGGGGCAAACTAATATGAGTGAATAACAGCAATTGTAACAGCAACAAAGCGACGTGGCGATCGCGAAACTCGAGCATAATGATCGCACGCGAGGGAAGAAATAAAAAGAGGGATAGGCGCGGCGTTGCAAAGTTAATTAAATTTTCTGTCGCTATCAATACATTATAGGTAGATCTATGACGCTTAATAAACGTTTAATAAACGTAACAGAGCCGCGATATTAAACAACAGAGAAACGTCAGTGAAGAGAGAGAGAGAGAGAGAGAGAGAGAAAACTCACGATGTAAAATTTTCACGCTGCCGCGACGCACCTCCCTGCATTCTGGCACTTGAAAACGCGTCCTTGCAACGCGTTGCACGCACGGGCCGCCACGTGTGTACTCGAAAGTGCGTCGTACATATCTACGTGTGCGTGCACGAGGATACGTTTGAAACACGCATGGTCACGGTATTTGACCACCCCAGCTCCCGGAATGATTGTAATCCATCTATCCGGCCACCGAAGCCGATATATCAAACGCAGGTAGAGCTCTCGCGGTCCTCTCTCTGTAGGCCTTTTACGTTGCCTTTTTATGCCGCAGACACGATCTTTTGTTTTCTCAGTGAATATTTTGTGAGGGAAAATTGGTTACGGCGATGCGAGCAGTTTCGTGCCAGGTAACTTTATTATATAGAGCACGCGCGTTCCTCATCGTATTATTATTTTTTTTTTTTTTTAACTACAATGCGTTGCAACAATTACTCCACGCGAAGATTTGTGTAATAAATAATCATGTCTTTTAGGAGAGAAAGAAATTTCAGAAATCGAGTTATATTGTATTCAATATAAATCGTTGTAAAAAAAGTAGTTGTATTTTTATTTTATGATATTAATACTATATAAATATTTTGCTACTAAATTTGTGATTGAAATGTATTTATAAATATATTTTCTCATGTTAAAATATTAAAGACTAATTTATCTATATGGTCAATTAAACTGTAATTTTTGAAATATTTGCATTCTCGCTGCTTTCTCTAGTGTAAACCCTCGAAATGAGCGATCATTGCTCGTGCAAGATGCTATCTATTGCTTTCTAATCTTTAGCTCTACCATATTTTGCACTTAGGAACGAAGTACGCTGACACTACAGTCGGCAACAATTTACGTAACACGATCGCAAACGCATCAATCCGCGGATTATCTATCACAAAGAGACATCCAATTATCGTTGGGGATATCGCCGACTCGATATTTCGATAAGCGCGATTAGAATGTTGCAGATTAATATGAATGCCACATTTAATTCCATTTCGTGTAATGACCGCCAAAAGATAGCGAAATTATCACGCGCTCTAAAACAGATAATAAATCGTTTTAACATTTGTCAAGTGCAATTCACGAATTGTTACTAGTTACACAATGTTGCATGTTATTGTATCGATCGGAGATTAGAAGACGGCGAGTGCTTTTCAATGTTCTGTAAAAGCATATTCCAGAAACAGATTTATCTTCATAATCGGAATTTCATGGAATCTTTAACAATTATAAAACGATTATATCAACATTATCTGATTTTTATTAATTTTTGAATAGAATTTCACAAAGTTTTTTTAGGAATAGTAAAAATTTAGGCAAATGAGAGAATAGAACGCAGGTATCAGAGAGAGAGAGTGCAACTAAGATTATAGTATAATTTTAATACTCAAAATTCACAATGCTCTTTCAAGCAGTCACTAATGGATTGGATAATCCAAAGTGAAATGCAAGAATTTAGTGGTAAAAATAATGTAGGAATTTCATAAGAGAAAGAGGAGCCAACACTGCATTAGCCAATTGTCAGATTGATTATTATTTCTTTAACAAAAATCTCTTTTTGGATCAATAAAAAACGCGCAGATAAATCTCGCAATAAATCTGAAAGGTGAATGAATAAAATTCTCTCTTCATCTCGAAATCAAAGTTTAGATTTTTCAATAATAATAAAATGACAGATTTTAAAAGAATTTCCAATCGGTAGCTGTTTTCGA